TCGTGAGCAACTATAAAGGTCGCGGCGAAACGATGTTTGATAAGTATCTCAGCGGGCTGGGGAAAAACGCCAAACAGACGCTGAAAACTTACAAGCAGATCAATTCTACGCTACGGACGACCACTTCGAGATTAAACAACCTGTTTAAAACCACCGTATCGTGGGGGACAAAACTTGCGGTTATGGGCGTTGCCGGGCCGTTTGGCTTTGGCATGATGGCTCGTAATGTTGTAGAGAAACAGAAAAATGCTGATGAATTGCAGGCAACTCCAGGAGAGTTAAAGGCGGCAGAAAGCACTTATTCGCCTTATTTTTCCGGTGTTGGTAATTTGCTCAATACACTGGCAGCCGCGCAAAATGATACTCAGCATCCTGCCTACAACGGGCTAATTGGATTAGGGATAAATCCTAAAAAAGGGGCAGCAGAAAATCTTCCTGTATTGTTAGAAAGAGTTGCTGCTCTTGCAAAGGAGTATGAGGGAACCGGACTTACTCAGAGCATGCTCAGAGGTCGTGGCCTTGGATGGGTAAATTTTGGTATTGCTAACCAGTTAGTCAAATATCAGGACAAAATACCTGAACTCAACAAAGAGTTTTTATCGCGAGCTTTTCAGAATGACTCGTTGCTCACCTCTGGACATACAAGCCAGTATCAGAATCTTACCAGCAACTTAGAAAATAACTGGGATCAACTTACCAGCGGATTTCAGGGGGCAATGTCGGGTAACTCTGTACAGCTAATCAGAATATCTAATGGTGTAAAGAATGCTGGTCTAAATTTCCTTAACGGTGAGAACTTTAAAAGAATTTTGACTGATGTTGAAACAGGTCTGGATAAACTTGGTAAGTATGTAAATGGCCCGGATTTTAATAACGACCTGAATAATTTTGCCGAAAATGTTGCAAAGGTTGTTAAGGCACTTAGCGGGTTTGTTGGTTTTGCGGTTGAACATCCCTGGCTTTTTGGGGCCGCAGTACTTGCTGGACCATCGAGAGTTGGTGCTGTGGCAGCCACAACGACCGGAGTTGCCGCCCGTGTTGTTGGTGGAAATCTTCTTGGGGCTACAGCCGGAACAGTAGCTGGATTGGCTATTCCTACAAATGACACACCTACCACCAGTGAGGAAATGAAAGGGCTGGAGGGGCGTTTCAACTTTGATTATTTTAACGAAGTGCAGGAGTGGCAAAAAAACAATCCGGGTAAGGTCTGGCCTGGAGGATTGCAGGGATTTTCAAATCAAGTAAACAGATCTGCATATTTATCCAGAGGGATCAGGAATAACAATCCCGGAAATCTTAATTTCGCAGGACAAAAAGGGGCTACCCTGGAATCGGGGCCAAATGCCCGTTTTGCCAGCTTCCCGACGATGTTGGAAGGCATTGCTGCCTTAGATCGGCAGGTAATGCTATACCTGAAACGCGGCAAAAATACGATTGATCAGATTATTGATATTTATGCCCCTTCATCTGATGGAAATAACACATCGTCCTATAAAAGCTATCTCTCTCAGTACACCGGATTAGGTGTTAAGGAGAAAATCGATGGTTCTAATTTTGAGATAATGAGAAAGCTAATTCAGGGCATTATTAACCATGAAAATGGGGACGCCGCTCGTGCAGTAAGTGGCGATGATGTGATGCGGGCGCTGGCAATGAACCGGGGGAACGTATATTCACCAAATAATACTTCTCAGGTAATCAGGCTCGACGTTCAACAAAAACCAGGTTCCGACATACTGGCACAACTCGCCGGAATGCAACAAATACCGGGGTAAACCATGTCACTTAATTACTTTGGACAAGCTTTCAAACTGGCGTTTGAAGTATCGCCCATTCTTTTAGTTGATGGCATAGCGTCGAAAATTCCCGGCGGGGTGATGCCGATTGCTGTTCTGACCGAAGGACTAAGTATCGCGAACGGTCTGCTGCATGGAGAGATTCATACACGCTCGATGGCGGCATTCACGCCAATGGCCGGGACAACGCTGGTCCAGCAGGATATTTGCAACCTGAATTTCTATAACCAGGTAACGGCAGCGAATGCGACCGTCAGGAAGCCTAACCGGGTAGTCATGCAGATGATCCGTCCGGTATCAACGGAGGACGGTGGCTACACCACTAAGGGGATGACGTTTACGGCGCTGAAAATGGCGCTTGATATGCATAACCAGTATGGCGGTTGTTATACCGTTATGACTCCCTCGTTTATCTACACGCGCTGCCTGATGCGGTCGTTTATCGATACATCTGGTTTCTCTGAGCAGAACAAGCAAGTGCAGCACACCTGGCTGATTGAGTTTGAGCAACCATTGTCGTCTGTCGAACAAACAGTAAAGACGCTGGCTAGTGTTCTGGATAAATTTGATAAAGGGATGCCGTCAGACGGGCCGCTATCGTGGTCAGGCATTAAGAACCAGGTCGTGCAGGAGTTTGGTATTGGCTTATGACAACGTTAATTCCTTTTAAACCTGACGGGCGAGGCCCGTTTCAGTTCACGGCCAGAATTGGAGAATATGAAACATTCGCCCGCGTTCCGTTTAATCTGTATGCAAATCGTTACTACCTGGAACTGAAAGACAGTTCTGGCGACGTGATTGTGTACATGCCGTTGATCGCGTCACCTGACAGTTACGACATCAATCTGGCGCTGCCTTGCTCACCGGGGAAACTTGTTTTTCGCGAAAGTACGAATCAGTTTGAGGTTTCGTAATGCGTTATTACCGACTGGAAATTATTAATCCTAAAACAGGCAAGCCGCCAGTGGATAGCAATGGAAAACCCATTGGACCTTTTGATACCAGTGAAACACCAGGATGTGGGTTGCATGTTGAATTTGACTTTGAAGTAACCGGCCTGGATGTAGTCTGTTCGGGCACGATGCTGACGATCTATGGATTACCAATTGACATGCTGAAGCAAAGCGTAAGCTTGCAGGGTTGTCTGGTCCGTATGAAAGCAGGCTTTGTTCAGGGGTTACCACTGGCAAATAAGGATCAACAGGGGGAGGTAATCTATGGTGAAATTTATCTGGCCTATGCCAACTGGATCGGCACGAACCAGACTTTAAACCTGGTAATAAATCCAAGCATACGCAAAACCGATGACGGTAAACCTTTTTCAATTGAGGGGCAGGGGGAAGCAGGCGAAAGGGTTGGCGATGTTTTAGTCCGCGCTTTGCAAAAAGCATATCCCAATAAATTGATTGATTGCACAGTCAGCGACAACCTGGTTTTGCCAGAGCCGTGGACGGGTAAATATACAGAGATTGGTTCTCTGGCAATGGTCGTAAAAAACGCCTCTATTGCGATGATGCGTAATGAAAGGTATAGCGGAATCGCCATCAGTATTCTTTCCGACAGAATACGAATCTACGATAACGCATCGGCAAAGTGGGGTGAGCCAAAAACAATTCATGCCCATGAACTGGTCGGGCAGCCGACATGGGTAGCGCCGTTTACCGTCAGCTTCAAATGCCCGATGAGGGGCGATATCAGATGTGGTGATGTGGTTAATTTGCCGGAGGGGCTTTATTCGGGCGCCGCGTCGATTGTGATGGCTAATACAATGGCTCCTGGCGTTATCTCCAAAAACTCGACCACGTTTACCGGGAAATTTCTTGTGAAATCGGTCAGACACATTGGTTCGTATCTGACAGCCGATGGCGATGCCTGGGTGACGGTATTCGAGGCATATGCTGAGAACTGGGCGAGGGTGTAATGTCAAACGCTCAAAAAATACCGTTTCTCCGAACGCTGTCGGAGATGATGACCAGTTCTGGTAACCAGCAAGCCGAGCTTAAAGGCCGTGAATTGCCCTGCCATGTTGTCGATGTCAGCGGGCAGATAGTGACAGTTCAGTTTGATATGCTCCCCGAGGGGATCAACTTTCCGCAGATAACAATCCCTGTCGCCACATTCCCGTATATCCGTTACCCGATACAGCCGGGCGATCGAGGAGTAACAATTGCCGCTGATGTATCCCTGCGCGGTGTGTCCGGGTTGGGAACTGGTATGGCGACGCTCTCTTACTCGATGTCGCTCACTCCCCTGTTTTTCGTGCCACTGGCAAACAAGGACTGGTCCGACGAAGATCCGCAAAAAATCGTTTTGTACGGTCCGGATGGCGCGATCCTCAAAACAGAGGACGGCAGTAGCTCGGTAACGGTGGCTCCGGAAGAAATCAGGCAAAAGTCGAAAGCTGTTTACCTTGAGGCCGAAGATATTTTCCTGAACGGGAAAATTCACCTCAACGGACCGATCGTCCAGGACAAAGCCCAGATGAAGGATACAACCGCTTCGCTGATTGGCCCTCTTAAGGTCGAGAAAGATGCAGTTATCAACGGCGTGAGCGCCAGCGGCCACAGCCACGATGTGACTGGCGTTCAAAGCGGCGGCAGCACGATCACGTCGAAGCAACCAAATCCGGGTTAACCGGTTAATTTCACTTTAAATTCTATCCATAAAGCGAAAGCCCCGACTGGGCAAACAGTCGGGGCTTTTTGTTTCTGACCTTGAATAAGGCAAGGAGAAGTCGTGTTTGATTTTAGCAAACTGATTCGGGAGATTCGAGTTATGGCTGAAAAATTATCCACCTGGAAGTTTTTGCTTATTTGGTTGGTCTTTCTGATTCTTGCGTCTGGTTATTTTGTTGGTCAGATCCGATGGTGGTGAGGGCGCGATGAGAACATGGGGCCGCGTCAACGACGCGAACGGCAACAAAAAATGGGTTGCAGTAGAATCTGACACCAACGGTGATTTCTCCTACGGCTGGCTGACGACGCTCATTCAGACGTTAAAGCTGGGGTTGGGGGAGTCGCCGTTTTACGCGAATTACGGCATTCCAGCGCAGCAGTGCATCGTGCAGCAGATTTACCCGGACTACTATGTGAACATGGTTCAGCAACAGTATGCCGGGTATTTTGCATCGCTGGCAATTTCAAAAGTAGATGGGGCAGAGAACCCCACCTATAACATCGATGTTGTGTTTTTTAACGGAACCAGTTACCGGACGCAGGTTCCGGTTTGAGGCAAGTTTTCGGGCATCAATTGGGCCAGTGGCGTGTTAAGAAGTTCATCGCGTGGCATGACAATCCATCCACTTTTGCGTAGTAAGTGAATTGCCCATTCTGTGGTGATAACTGAGCCTGATTTGTGGTGCTCAATGTGGGTAACCGAGCCGTTTCTGACGCGCATGATGATGTCAACATTCAGAGGGGATTGTGTGCTGGTGGTATCTTCGCGCAGCTTCTTCTCGCACTCGATGAAGTATCGGCGGATCTGGCGTCCTTTTTCGTTGCGCTCGACCATTGCCAGTTCTTTGGCGGTGTCTAGGGTGAGGTGGTAGTCCTTGCGGTTATGTCCTCCTCTGCCTCCTAACGATTGCTTTCCTGTTTTGGAAAGCAAAATGTAATCTTGATTTTCTGTAAATCCGTATTCTGCGATGCGGGATGTAATCCAGGCTGCGAAAACCTTACCTACACCAAGAAAAGCGTGCAGATCACGAGCATTACAGAGTAGGGCGGTTTCGTTTGAGATAGTTCCGTTGAAAACGGGGATTAATTGTATTGTCATAACGACCTCACTGATTTTTTCGAATTTCCACTATCGGAGTGGAGCCGGGAGGTTCGAAACGGCTCAGTGAGGCCGCGGACTTATTCCCCTTTCGGGTGTTGTATTCGTCGCCCTCCCGACATTGTTCGGGGATGTGACCGCACATTGTGCCATCACTAAATAGCAGGCATAAAAAATCCAACACTAACGGGGTTGGTTGTGACCGCACTGAGAAGAGGTTTCGACGCCTCATGCGCTTAATCATACTCAACTGGGCGCGGTTGTAAAGTATGAACTTGAACGGACATTAAGAATGGGTAAAATTTAATCTCCTGTTTTTAAGGAGATTACGGATGATTAAGTTTAAATTATTTGTAGTGTTTGCTTTTTTATTACAAATCGGAACTGCGAATGCGGTATCTTTTGATTGCTCGAAAGCTAAATCATATTCTGAAAAGTTAATTTGCAGCAACAGTGAATTATCTGAACTTGATGATAAATTAAATTCTTTATATCAAAAAGTAAAGTTAGAGAGCGCTGATAAGAAAGCTTTTAGAAAAATTGTTTCAGACTTGTGGAATGAAAGAGAGAAGTGCAAAACAGAATCATGTGTTCGACAATGGTATTCTAATGCATTCAGGGAATATTCATCTTTAAATGAAATTAATGAGAACATAATCAATGAATCAAAGAATTACGCTGAATGGTATATTGATGGTGCACTGATAATATTACCTCCACTGGAAGGTGTTAGTAAAAATAGATTCCTGATGTATGGCGATGATGGGACAATAGCTATTTTTATTGCTTCAAAATCTAAAGGCAATGGATTTTGCGATAATTCAGTGCAAATTGATGGGCCATTAGAGTATCCACCAATTTTGATTAATGGTGAATATTATAAAACTTATAAATCATGCTTGTATGGAAATGGTTTTATAGTACCAAAAACTGAAATTGGTAAAGCGGTTCTGAAAGAATTGGTTATGAAAATGAAGCCTATAAAAATTTCTTTTGGAGACGGCGATGAATTTAACTATCCTCCATCCAATGTAAAAAGAATGCTTGAGAGGGTGGAAAAAATGAAACAGGCAAAATAAGTTAACTTAAAACCGCTTCGGCGGTTTTTTTATGGGGTAGATATGTCTGAAATACCAATTACTATGACCAGTGCGGGTGCGCAGCCTACGCCACCCAATGATTTGCTCGCAAATCTTATCACCAGAGTTGCTGAAAAAGTACCTGGATATACAGCCAACCTTCCGGCAGGACTTATTACAGACCTTGCCAGCACGGCAGTAGGGGCGCTGGCATTAATAGACCAGGCGCGGGTGGACCTTATTAACTCTGTAAGCCCATACGGCGCGAATATTCCGTTACTGATGCAACTCGGAAACATATATGGAGCACAGAAGGGATTAAGTACAAATACGGCGGTATACGTGGTGTTTGAAGCGTTGCCGGGGTTTGGTATCCCTAAAGGATTTGTGGTTGGAGACGGTAACTACCAGTATGCGGTTTCCCGCGATACTGTGGTACCGGAAAGCGGGCAGACTGAGCCAGTTTACTGTGTGGCCACAACGTCAGGCTCATGGGCTGTACCGGAAGGGACCGTGACGCAGGTTATTACATCAGTACCCAAAGACCAGCCTGTAAAATGCACGAACCTTACCGCAGGGATGCCAGGTCAGGAGGAGCAGACGTGGGCATCTTACCGCGCCGAAGTCATGGAGTCCGGCATGTTTGGTGTGCAGGGAACACCGGATTGCTTTAAAGCGATGCTCAAATCAGTAAGCGGTGTGCGCGAAAACCTGATTTCTTTCCGGCAGTCGTCGCTGGGGAAATGGGTTGCGGTTGTTGGTGGCGGTGATCCGTATGATGTGGCTTATGCGATTTACAAATCTGTACCGGACATTTCGAAACTGACCAACGATGTTAGCAATCCATCCGGTGCGGCAGTGGAAAAACGCACGGTTTCAATAACCGTTTCGCCGGACGTTTATCAGGTACCGTTCGTTATCCCGTCATCACAAAACGTCATGGTGCTAATCACCTGGAACACGGTGTCTGATGATTATGTTGATCCGGCGGGTATTGCTATGGCTGTGCAGCAAAACGTTGCTGATTACATCAATTCAATTGAAGTCGGACACCCGATAAATCTTCTGCGTATCCAGGATATTTTTACCAGTTCCGTCAGGTTGCTGGTTGATGCGACGTTGATCTCAACAATCAGTGTGAGCATTGGTATTAACGGCCATATTGTTCTTCCGGCGAAAGACACAAGCCTGGTTTATGGCGATACCTATTCCTATTTTTCAACGGTGGCATCACAGGTTCAGGTCAACAAGTATGCAATATCTGACTGAGAAAATTCTCCCTGCTTATCCATTTGTGCAGTACAGAGATGATCCGAATGTTGTTGCGTTCTTTGATGCATACAATGAAATTGCTCAGGAATACCTCGATTCACTCAACAATCTGGCATTGCCATGCTGGACATCAGAATCAATAACCGGGCAATTGCTGGACTGGATTGCACTCGGGATTTATGGCGTTGAAAGGCCTTTACTACAGGTTTCCGAGGAGGCTATTGCACGCGGTGCATACGATACCATTGAATACAATACGATCCCGTATGCGGCAATGCGGAATTACGTTCCGGGGCAGGCATCGTATGTTCCTGATGATTATTTCAAGCGAATATTGACGTGGAATTTTTATAAGGCTGACGGCTCGCACTTCTGCATTGACTGGTTAAAGCGACGTGTGGCGCGGTTCATTCACGGAAAAAACGGGATAGACCCGCCGTTGCAGCACACTTTTGATGTGAGTGTGACTGTATCGGACAGTGTTTTTTCTATTCAGATACCAGAATATGGTGATGGTATAGGCTATTTTCTGAAAGATGCCATTGACCAGAAATATGTAAAACTCCCTTTTATTTATTCCTATGCAACAACGGTGATTCAAAAATGATTCTTGGATTTGGCAATAACGTTGTTTCAGCACTGGCTGGCGATATCACGACGATTCAGACTGATATTCCGGTGATACCGGGCACGGGAGCTAAATTTGCAAAATTGCTTTCTGCCGATTTTGAAAATAAATCGAACGGGCAACGCGTCTATGCAAAAATTACGCTTACCGATAATAAAGAGTCTGCATTTGAGATTTGTCACCTGGTATCAGTAAGCGGCGATGTGCTGAAAGTCATTCGTGGGCAGGAAGGAACAACCGCGAAAGGTTGGTCCCTTAATGACGTTGTGGCTAACTTTGCCACGCGTGGTTCGGAAAACTATTTCGTACAGATAGCGCAGCTTCAGAGCGGTCATTATATTGCGGGTGTTGCTGGTGGCACTGTAAACACACTGACGCTGGAGCTTCCCTCGACGTTTTTTGTTAATGAAGGTACAGATTGGACACTACGAACCCCGATTATCGTTTTCCCCGTTCAGAACAATACCAACGCGGCGACACTTCAACTAACACTAGGCGGAAAGGTTCTTGGTACGTTCCCACTTTATAAGGGGAACAAGTCCGAGCTGGTAGCGAATGATATCATTAAAGGTATTCCTTTGATTTGCCTTCTTGATAACGAGAAAAGCTATTTCAGCGTGATAAACCCCGGCAATATCTATTCAGATTTTGATCTGCGATATGTAAAAAAATCTGGTGATTTGATGACCGGGGAGCTGAAAATCCGTGGTGTTAATGCGCTGAGGATTTTCAACGACGCTTTTGGCCTGATTTTTCGTCGTTCGGAAGAGTGCCTGCACCTTATCCCTACCAGTGAAGGTCAGGGCGAGAAT